GAGTCAATGGGAAAGGGATTGGTTCCATTGGGATTCGTAAAACAGGAATCAATGGGAAAGGGTTTGGGTTCATTGGGATTCTCTACAATGGGAATCGATAGGGAGGGATTGGATCCATTGGGATTCTGTACAATGGGCATCAATGGGAAAGGGATTGGGTCCATTTAGATTCTACAAGTTTACAAATTGTGAACGGGTTGTTCTGTGCCTCCTGTAATTTCCCACACTTCTGCCCTCAACCCCCATCTCCCCAATAAAAATTAAAGACAGACCCCCCCCAACCCCGGTCCTCACATACCACCCCACCAAACTCCGCATCCAGTGCATCATCCTCCGCCATTTCTGCCACCTACAATCCGACCCCACCACCAAACAGATGTTTCCCTCCCCACCCCTATCTGCCTTCCGGAGGGACTGCTCTCTCCACAACTCCCTCATCCGCTCCACATTCCCCACTAACCCCACCACCCCCGGCACCTTTCCCTAAAACAGCAGGAAGTGCTACACCTGCCCCGACACCTCCCCCTCGCCTCCATTCAAGGCCCAAAACAAAGCTTTCATATCAGACAGGGGTTCACCTGCACATGCGTCAACTTGGTCTACTGTATCCACTGTTCCTGATGTGGCCTCCTCTACATCGGAGAGACCAAGTGGAGGCTCGGAGACCATTTTGTAGAGCATCTGCGCTCTGTACGATACAAACATCATCACTTCCGGTTGCTAACCATTTTAACTCGCCCTCCCACTCCCTGGGTGACATGTCCATCCTGGGCCTTCTCCAGTGCCACAATGACGCTACCCGCAAACTGGAGGAGCAGCACCTCATATTCCGCCTCAGGAGCCCACAGCCCAATGGCTGAAACATAGAATTCACCAGGTTTAAAATCTCCCCACCCCCGGCCTCATCCCATGACCAACCCTCCCTCTCATCCCCGCCTCCTTGACCTGACACAACCTGTCCATCTTCTCTCCCACCTATACTCCCCTCCCACCTCACTGACCAATCCCCACCACTCCCTACCTGCACTCACCTATCACCATCCCACCTACCATCCCCAGCCCCAACCCTCCTCTCTCTATTTATTTCTGAGCTCCCTACACCACCGCTCCCCCCCGCCCCCATTTCTGAAGAAGGGTCCCGACCCGAATCGTCAGCTTTCCTGCTCCTCTGATGCTGCGTGGCCTGCTGTGTTCCTCCAGCTCCACACTGTGTTATCTCTGACTCCAGCATTGGCAGCTCTTACTATCTCTGAACAATATTTGCATGCCTGTGTGAAAAGTGCAGGGGCTTGGGTGGAATTAATTGTGTCATTTATTTTCCAAAAGTACTTGAATGCGCAGAATGGGCTGAATAGCCTCTGTCTGTGCTGTAAATGTATCTGATTGGTGGGTTGTGGGCTGGGGGAAGATCTGGGTAAACCAATAGGGTCGTGTATCAGCTGGATGAGAGATTCTGCTCTGATGGGGACTGACATTAATCCCAGTTGTCAGATCCTAATAAAACCACCAGGTGGCAGTCCTGTTCCATTTATAGGTGACCACTGCAAACTACCTCTGTTAACACAAGGGACAGTGCAAACTATCTCTGTTAACACAAGGGACAGCGTGGGTTCTTCATCTTTGTGACATCTTTGAGCTCAAGATGAACTTTCTGATCACAGATTCACGAGATCCCTAAGCCCACCTCTTTACTGCTGTGTAACATGGCCCAAACTCACCCCCATCTCAGCTCATTTGTTGCTGAAACCCTCATATGTGCCTTTGTCACCTTCAGACTCACCCACACCAATCCTTGTGTCCTGACTGCTTTCCAATATTCTACCACCAGCCCCCGGTAAATCCTAACCCATCCAAAAGTTGATTGCCTGTGCCTCGACTCACTGCAAAGTGTTACTCCCCCATGACCCTGTGAGCTCACTGCCCCTTGATCAAACGATATCCCGATTTTCAAATTCTCATCAGACTTTTCAAATCCCTCAAATGCCTGGCCTCTATGGAAAGGGGGAAGACCCCTCTATGGGGAGGCCATGACCTAGTGGTATTATCTCTGTTAATCCAGAGACTCAGAAAACATTCTGAGGACCTGGGTTTGAATCCCGCCAAGGCAGATGGTGGAATTGGAGTTCAATAAAAATCTGGAATTAAGAATCCAATGATGACCATGAATCCATTATCGATTGTCAGAAAAACCCATCTGGGTCACTAATGTCCTTTAGGGAAGGAAACTGCCATCCTTATCTGGTCTGGCCTACATGTGACTCCAGACCCACAGCAATGTGGTTGACTCTTAACTGCCCTCTGGGCAATTAGGGATGGGCAATAAATGATGCCTGGTCAGCGACGCCCTCATCCCGTGAATGAATAAAGAGAAAGGGAGGTGCTGACGGGAATTTTAAAGGAAGTTTATTCATTAAAGGAACTAGACATAGATGTGGAGACAACAAGGTGCAGGGCTGGATGAACACAGCAGGCCAAGCAGCATCATAGGAGCAGAGAGGCTGACGTTTCGGGCCTAGACCCTTCATCAGAAGATGTGGAGAGGTTGTTTCACTTTGTGGGAGAATCTGGGACCAGACTGCAGGATCTCAGAGCAAGGGTCAAAGAACAAAGAACAATAAATAACAGGAACGGGCCCTTCAGCCCTGTAAGCCTGTGCTGCCATATTCTGCCCTTTCACACTAAAACTGTCTTCACTTACAGGGTCCATATCCCTCTGTTCCCTTAAGAGAATCAAGGGTTATGGGGAAAAGGCAGGAAAATGGAGTTGAGGTTTATCAGATCAGCCACGATCTCTTTGAATGCTGCAGCAGACTCGATGGGCTGAATAGACTATTACTGCTTATGGTCTTGTGTTTGGCCAGGTGGGTAAGTGGGGAGGAGGGACACAGCAAAGGCAGCTGATGGGATTTTTTCCAATTGAGGGACAGACATATTCCATGCACTCCTCCCACATGCTGTCTGGAGGTGAGGATGTAGGGGACAGGGACTGGGGTAGAAGGAGATAGTTTTGTAGTAAGAACATAAAGAATAGAGATAGGAGTAGATCATTTGGGCCCTTGAGCCTTAAATATACACAAGGTCTCTATCCTCACAGCTCTCTGTGGCAAGGAATTCCAAAGACTCTCAACCTTCTGAGGGAAGAAATTCCTCCTCATCTCAGTCTTAAATTGGTGCCCCTTTATCCTGAGACTATACCCCCTGGTCCTAGACTCTCCCATGAGGGGAAACATCCTCTCAGCATCTACACTGTCAAACCCCTTAAGAATTCTGTATGTTCCAATGAGATCACCTCTCATACTTCTAAACTTCAGGGCGTACAGTCCAAACTTGTTTAGCCTTTGTTCGTAGACAATCCCTCCATACCAGGGATCATCCAAGTGAACTACCTCCAATGAAATGATATCTTTCCTTAAATGAGGGACCAAACTGCCCACAGTACTCCAGATGTTTCTGAAGAAAGGTCTAGGCCCGAAACATCAGCTTTCCTGCTCCTCTGATGCTGCTTGGCCTGCTGTGTTCATCCAGCTCTACACCTTGTTATCTCAGATTCTCCAGCATCGGCAGTTCCTACTATCTCATAAATACTCAATTTGTGTTTTATAAAACGCACCAAACAAGCTCAACATTGAGAAATGTTAATATGGAACTTGGAGAAAATAGAGAGAGAGAAAATAAACTACAGGGGCAAACGAGTGAGGAACGTAAAAACAGACAAGAAGAGCTCCTTTAAATATATAAAAGGGGAAAAAAAACGTCAAAGTGAACATAGGTCCCTTAGAAAATGAATCTGGGGAGATAGTTTTGGGGAACAAGGAAATGGCAGAAGAGGTTAAATGATATTTTGCATCAGTCTTTACAGTGTAAGATACTGAGAACATTCCATAACACTAAGGAATACAGGGGAGGAAATGAATATCATCACCATCACTAATGTCTTGTCAGACAAATTAATGGGGCTAAAGGCTCATTAGTCTCCGAGCCCTGATAGTTTGATTCCCCTAGATTCTAAAAGAAGTAGCTGCAGAGATCATGGATGCACTGGTTGTAATCTTCCAAAAATTCTGCAGAAGTACCAGAGGATTGGAAAACTGTCAGTGTGTCACCCCTGTGCAAAAAGAGAGGGAGCCAAGAAGCAGGTAACTGTAGGTCGAGATAACACAGCGTGGAGCTGGAGGAACACAGCAGGCCAGGCAGCATCAGAGGAGCAGGAAAGCTGACATTTCTTCAGAAATCTGAAGAAGGGTCCAGACCTGAAACATCAGTTTTCCTGCTCCTCTG